TATGTCACAGAAGAGAACGTCAGAAGATACGCCAGAAAGAATGTCAGAAAGACCTCAACCGCCAGCTCCGGACGGCAGTGTTCCCCGCCAGACCTCAACCGCCAGTTGCGGACGGCAGTGTTCTCCGCCGGACCTCAACCGCCAGTTCTGGACGGCAGTGTTCCCCGCCGGACCTCACCCACGAGCCAGAAGATGTGCCAGATAGAACGGCAGAAAGAATGTCAGAAACACATGTCATTGTCAGAAAGAATGTTCAAGATATGCCAGAAAGAATGTCAGAAGAGATGCCAGAAAGAATGTCAGAAGATATGCCAGAAAGAATGCAAAAATGTTTCAATACGTGCTGAAAACTTGTCCGATTGAAATGTCCGGGTGGGGATCACTCGAAGTGAAGTATTTTTTGCGTTGCTTGCTTCTTTTCGGGCATGCTTCTATTAACATACGTTTGATCCCTCACTAACCATCAGTCACTGAACTGAATCTGAGAAGGCAGGAACGAAAGCCAGCAGAAAGGAATGTGGAGGTCCTGGTTGTAAGGTGAAGGGCAAGCGGAAAGTGACAAAGTACATGATTCAATCAGTTGTCAAGTTAAAAATCTTCGACTTGTTCAAGTTGTTTTCTCTAGCTGCTGATGCTAACGATGCTGGTATAACTTCTCCAACACTAGCTCTCAAACCATTAGCATTGTAAAATATACGATTGAGTTTTGATGGTTTAGACTGTATACACCCATTTTGCCCGCCCAGCCCCCCAAATAACTACTCAGGTTACGATGCTTCGTGGCGTCTTTGGGTCGGAGATGAGAGCCTGACTGAAACCCAGTCAGGAGGACAGTCGCAAGAAAATGTAGAAGAAATGGGGGCGTCAATCTCGACACCAGTTTCCGATGCGCGGTCCCGTTTCACGAAAGTTCTGAGAAGAACGCAAGTGCCGCGGTGTGTGCGACAAGGATGAAAAGAAGCAGATACTGCAGCGTAGCGTAGAAGTGTTTCAAATGTATTAGAGCCGAACGTTAACATCCCAACCCATCCCACCCAACCCCCACCCCGACCCCACTCAAAGTCACATCATCTTCGACCAAACTAACGTCATTAGCCCCGCCCGACCCCAACCCCAAGCCCACCCCCACCTTCCAAAGCGTGTGTGGATGTCACATCATCTTCGAAGCACATCCAAACCAACGCCATTAGCCCCCCATCCAACCCCACCCCTTCATAGAAGCCTGTGGGTCATATACTACCGACCGGTAACTTAGGACTTGTGTGGGCCAGTGACATAGTAGTTGTGGCCCACTACTCCTAAGACATTGGGAGCACAAAAATTGCAGAGTTGCTGATTCAAGCCTCATGACTTGGGAATTGTCGCCAGCTGATGATCAAGCATTTTACTTATTTTTTTCAGGGAGGGAGGGGAATTGATGCACACAGAACAAATGACATAATAATCGGCCTGCTCATCATGTTTCATCATGCCTCCTGGTACTTACAACTCCTATCTCACGTCATTTATTCATCTTTTCCAGCAGCTTTCTGTTTTTGTTTTAGACTATTCTTGTGTGACCATGTTTTGATGTGTTTCTCTACTTTTAAAGTCCATGACATAGGAGTTGTGTACATTGCTCAAAAATGCTTTAAGACCCATGACAAAGGAGTTGTAAAGCCCACCATACGTTTTACAACTCCTTTGTCACTAGTCGAGAGTATATGTGAAAACACACTGAAGAACTTCACTATGGCAGGTCTTCACCTATCAGCCACAGGCGCCTGAAGGCATTATGGGAAACTACTCACTGCATTCGCGTAAACTAACTTCAGCCTAGCCTCCCGGCTGGCTTTCGTAACAAACACATTCATATATACCAAACCAAAGCATTCTTGCTGAAAACGGCAAACGGGTTGCAAACAAAGAGCAAACATTCCAACTATTAAAACATGACAATAAACAGTGTATATTTGAATGAATGACTTTTGTGTATCTTTTCGTTCGTGCATATGTATTAATTTCGATCTGTTCGGTGGACAATGGTTTCTTACATTTAGGATTCTGCAAACCGTTCTTTCATGCCAGTATGTTTCTTCCGTTTGGGATTCCGGGCTTCTGCTTCGCTTCAAGTTGAGCTACAGCCCCAGGGTGAAGAAACACAAAGAACGAATAGTAGGCTAGCAGCACCATTTGAGGCAAAATTAAAAGGCAGCTAGGTAAATTCCAGATGTAAATGTATTTAAAGACTGCTTTGCGACATCTCATTTGAGAAACTAAACATGATGTCTCATTTGGGAAAGCGATAATTTTTCTACGCCACTGCTCCGATTCCAAATACACACATTATATCACATTATCACATATCCTGTATCAGCGTGTGCCAAAGCGTGCAGTGTTGTAAGCAATTGGCATGATTCAGCAAGGTTATCGCTTTGGAGTCGGGCCTATCACTTTGGCAGGTTTTAGCCACAATGACACAGTGACATTGCTGAACATATCCCAAAACTGCGGGGGTATGGTTATTGCTTTTGAAGGGGAGCGATCGCTTTTGCTTGTTTTAGCCAAATTCCTGAGATTCATGATCGCTCTGTACTAAATTGAATTGGTCATCGCAAGTTTTGGCACTTGCTTGCCTAAGCCGCACATGATCAATTACGAGCTTAGCAAATGGCCTGGTAGTGCGGGGAATCAAAGAAGAATTTCTGGTTGTCACTTCCAGAGCCTCGGAGGTGTGCTCGTATATAACAAACAGAACAATGTTCTTTCAAACTAATAGCGATGGCCTCCAACCTACTAGTGATGACCTCCAACCTAATGGTGATGGCCTCCAACCTAATAGCGATGGCCTCCAACCCAATAGCGTTCTCTTTTCTGTGGTGCACGACTTGTTTTGTTAGGAGGTGTAAACTACCTTGTTTGAGAACCTTGCTTTTGCACCGACGGCGTCAAGTCTGACGCACTCAGCCTTTGTCAAACGCAAGGCACTCAGCTCCAAGTCTGCAAGTCGAGATTCAAGGTGCCGCCTTCAAATTGTTGGCGTTGCCCTGGTCCCACTCCCAACAAAGGTTGGTGTCGCTCTTGACCTGAAGGGTTGTTGCAATAAAGTAGAAACCAAGTCTTGTCAGTCAGCATAGTTCTATTATATAATTTCAATTCTAATTCTAGCCATTTCATCTGGAAACGATTGGACACGTCTTTGCGGTTGAGGGTTGTCTCCAACAAATTAATTTGTTGATGCACTCCAAAGAAAGCCAGCCTTGATCTGCTCTCCAGACCACATGAACTGCTGATTATCATTGTGATGGCAATCAGAATGCATGTACAAGTTGTTGCTGCTGCCTTGAACACACAAGTGGGTCAGTCCCCTTGACTCACCCGAGCTCAGGAGCATGCTTCTTGACACACCGAAAGAACAACAAATACAGGTCAACCATGTGCGGTTTGTTTCATGTGCCAATACAATTGTCCACACACCTTTATGGCAAACAAACGCCAAAAACTGCAGCAACAGCATCGATAATGTTGTTATGTTACAGTAAATCATGTTGAATCCTCTCGTTCTTTGCATCGGTGGCCCTTAGCAAAACTGGAGTGCTTCCCACCTGCATTCATGTCAAGGCATCGGCTGCGGTCATACTGGACCTTGAGGATTGGGCCTTCAAACACCCACATCTGCTGATTGCCGCGATGGCAAGGATGGAGGTAAACCTCAGCCAAATGGAGCCAACCAAGCTCTGTTTTGTCGGCGAAACTTCACAAGGTCGACGTGACTAGAACCTTTGAAGAAACTACTAGGAACAAACAGCGACTATATAACAAGTGCGTCGCTACTAGTAACAAGGGCATTACTACTAGTAACAAGAAGCTACTAGGGTGGAGGAACAAAAGGAACAGTAAGATCCTCGTTAAGTTTCTTGATTCTGTGTGATATGAGGTTCATTTAAAGGATTGGGCAACTGGTGTAAAGGCATGCAAAATATTTGCAGTTTTCCATGACCAGCAGCATTGTTTCCGGTTGGGTTCATATCCAAACACCATCCTGGATCTTTTCGGCTCTTGAGTCTGCGTGGGATCCTTTGCAGTGCAGATTGACACAAGTTGGACAAGTTTCAAAGCTCAGCGGAATGAGGTGCATTCTCACTATCAATCAAAGAAACATTGGATATCTGTTCTTTCTCAATCCACCGAAAGCAAACCAAGCATCTCCCAATTAAAGTCTTGATTGGCCCCATCATGGCACCTTCAGCACAATGAGTTCACACATGATTGAATGACGGTGTGCAAAGGAGAGACCATGTTTTTCTGTTGTGGTTCCAAGAACACTTGACCCATAAATAAAAAAAAACAGTATCAGTATCAAACAGTAAAGACTATAGACCTTCACCATTGTCTTGGCACCTGCAATTGCAGGACCCTTGAACACAAGGCAGTTCCAAGTACTCCTCCCAAACATCAAGCAATGGCAAACTTAGACGGGGGGTCATTTGAATGTGAAGCACGGGTTCCTGAAGATGTGACCGAAAAATGATAGCGACGACCAGAACGGGCAAAGAAAAGAAGAGAACTTAAAGTACGTGGAAAACGGCAAAAAACGTTCAGCCTAGGGCCTAGGGCAATGAAACAAAACGGGAGCGGTTCACTTGAGCCAGGTGCGAAGTGAAAGGAGCACCAAAACAGTGAGAATGTGGAGTTTGACATGGGGTGTGATGCGATAATCAAAATCAATTGGGATGAGGAAAACAAAAAACAATTTAGCATCCGTCCATTCTTCTCCCCTGTCGGAAATTTCATGGTGCAAAAGGCTGCAAACCAATGTTGCAAGGCGCACCCTCCACGTCAGTTTCTGAAGAACATGTACCAAAGCCCACTTGCCGGCACCCCGCGTCGGCACTGAGCATCCGATAATACGAGACAAAATCAACGTTTTCCAAAACTGTTGATTGATCTTGAATGATCTTTGTCCTCATCTGGACTCTAGGCTCTAAACAGTGCCCGGGCCAAAACCAGCGAAGCAATGCATGGAGGCCGGCTATCGTCTCCGGACGTTTGCATCGCGTGACTAATCTGGTCCACAAAACAAAATGAAACTCACGAACCCGAATGAATACACGCACTCGAAAACAAACGGCCAAACATTGATTGAACCTCTTGTGGGACACCCTTGTAGGACACTCTTGTGGGACACTCTTGTGGAAAACTCTTGTTGAAAACTCTCTTGCGGCACTCTGGACAAATCCATACGTCCGTCTTGCGGTATTGTTCCAAGTAAAAATGAATGACTGTGCGTCGTTGCGTCTCACCTCCGTCGGAAACACAAGTACGTCTGATGCACATTTATACACACAGATATTAAGATACACACACCATGCAAGTGAATGCTATTGCTGCTCTTCAAAAAACAACGCCCTTGCTCTGGGCCTTGCCGACTTTCAGGGTGAAAATACTTCGGCTTGTCACCAGGTCATCACAGCACACATCTGGGCCCAAGTATTTCCAGCAATGGTGGCACCACGATTGAGCTCGGTGGCCAAAGCAACAATGTCCATGTCTGCTGCCCAGTGAGTATTGCCGCAAATTTCAAGCGAGGCACTCACGTCACACTGTAGTCAGCAGAGCTGCTACGCCAGAACGCACTCTCTCGCTCCTTGTCATTTACAACCGCGCAAAACTGCACGGCACAGCAGCGTCACAAACATATTTTCGCCACATGGTGTACCGAAGAGCAGGCACAACAATGTCACACCAAGCCTACTTGCACGACAAAGTTGCCAGGAGACACAGGAACTAGCGTCTCGTACGAGACTTCCTCCAATAATAGTCAAACTTCAACTTTCCAAAACGAGCGCTTCGTATGAGACTCCCTCCAAAAGCCCTTCTTCCAAAATTCACTCATCAAAGTCTCCAAAGCAAACACTTCGTGCGAGACTGCCTCCTAAAGTCACACGTCAAAGTCGCCAAACGAGCATTTCGCACGAGACTTCCGTCAAAATTGCAGCGGGAAGTCTCATCAGAGCAAACATATCAAGCCGCCCTGCCAAACAGTTTCGCAGTCCGAGCCCATCAACACCACACCCTTTGACACACCAATCATCAATCCCACTGTCAGTGACATTCACTCCCACCACTCGTCGCAACCTCACGATTCACAGCGCTGCCATGAAAAATGAACTTCGACACCTCCAACACGCACAAAAAGTACCACGCCTGCCACGATAATGTGACGACATGGCATCTTCATGTCTTCAGCAAATTTTGCGCCACGCCACAGCACACTCACATCCACCAAAGCCGCAATTTTAGCCATTAAGCTGGGATTTGTCAAGAAAACACAGCTTCGAAGCAACAGCCTGAAACCCAAATCCCACTGTCACAGCGACATCTAAAAACTCCAACACACCACCCTGTGAACGCCAATCCCACTGTCACAGCGAAGGAAACTGAGGATTTTGCAATCACACACCTGCGCAGCAAAACCATCCTCCACACTTCAACATGTTACGTATCCATACGTTCCCTCGCTATTTCACGCGACATGCTACCATCCAAAAACCTCCTCCAAAAGCTTCCCCACTGTCACCGCCATAGCGACCCCTCCACACCAGTTGTTAGTTCTGGAACCAAAAAACAAGGTCACACCCGCTGCAACGGCCCCGCGCGATTTGCACGTTTTCACATGCAGCTTCGGGTCGTTTTTCACAACCTCTCTGGCACTTTATGGCGATGCCTGCCTTTAGCTCAGCCTCTCAATTCGTAATTCCATGATGAATTGACAGTTCGTTCGGGGACCTGGAAGTCAAAAAATGATTTCTGTGGTTTCATTCACATTAACACACTTCCACTCTTTGAGCTTTTCAGGCGTGCCACTCCTTCTGTGCCACCCCACCCCACCCCATCCCCAACGTAGTATCAACTTGGTAGCATCAACTTGGTTCGCAAGTGCAAGCGAACGTTAACACACCCCACCCCACCCCGGGCCCCAACGTAGTATCAACTTGGTAGCATCAACTTGGTTCGCAAGTGCAAGCGAACGTTGACACACCCCACCCCACCCCATCCCCAACGTAGTATCAACTTGGTTTGCAAGTGCAAGCGAACGTTAACACACCCTACCCCATCCCATCCCCAACGTAGTATCTTGGTAGCATAAACTTGGTTCGCAAGTGCAAGCGAAGGTTAACAAACTCACCCCACCCCACCCCATCCCACCCCATCCCCAACGTAGCATCAACTTGGCGAATGGTAAAAACGTGGAAATTCTCCGGGGTCGTTAGGGGGGCGTGAGCAAAAACAACCCTAGCGCAAACCTCTGTACGGCTGGGTTCACTGTCACAAAATGCCTACATCTTGCATGAAAACGCAATGAATTACATTCGACATTCATCATTCATTCTTCCAGGACAAAATACAAGTAGGCGAGGTACGGATGCATGTAGAAGTTCTTGGTGTTGTCACCATTGATATCTCCACATTTGGCAGACCCCCACTTTCGATTGTGCAATCGATGGCCATCAAAATAAAATTTCTGGTTATCCTTGCACGCCAAAGAGATCAACCGATCAACCCTAAAAAGCGAATCTAAAAGTGGCAGCTTGTCACCAGTTGGGAAAATTGGTACAAATGTCACATGTCCAGTGATTTCTGATTTGACCGGTGTGCTTCCCTGTCTGGCAGCAAGTTGAGGGAAACCATGGGAATATTGGTGTCATTGTAAGTTTCGGAGCTCGTCAACTGCTATTTAAGGCCTGAACATGTTCATTTAACACAATCAAGTCATGAGCAAGATTCCTCTCCGTGACATGGATACACATATAGGTTTCCTTGGACCGACCAAGAATTCAAGCTGTATCTGCAAGCATCAAACATAACAATCATAACATAGCTGGGACTCAATCTGCTCAAAACGCGTAGAGCAAGGACGCTACTAGGAGCAAGGACGCCACTAGGAGCAAAGGGCATCGCTACTAGGAGCAAGGACGCTACTAGGGGCTCCTGGCCGTACTACTAGGACAAGAAGCTACTAGAGCAAGGACGCTACTAGGAGCAAAATCCCAAGTAGAAACCAATCATGCGAGGGCGGGAAGAGCTTCCTTGAAAAAGCCTGAGAAAAGAATCCATCCTGGTGTGGTAGCTACTGAAGCTACCAGCCACGGCCTACTCCCTTTCTTACAAAGAAATAAGAAACGCTTCTTAACTAGTCTTCGGTTCCTTCTCCATTCTCATCCAAACAGTTGCCATCCTCTAGATTCCTGAGTATGTGAATGCTCAAACGGCAAAGGTCGCAAACCACTCCCTGCAGTGTCGGCTTTCTGGGAAATAGAGACTCTGCTGCTACTCAAAGCACTTTCGCAAACAAAACAGCGCCAACAAAGACATGAGAATATGAACAGCCTGATTCGATCTTGATTGCTGTGATCTTCGGGTTCTAGCTACTAGGACGAAACAAGGGCTAAGGGTAGGATCTAAGTAGAGACCAAAGAGAACAAACCAATGATGCACACCCTTGGCTGTGCAACTGAGGTGCTTGAGCAACTCTCCGTCAAAGTACCACTTCTGATTGTTGCCATCGTGGCAACCTGAAGATCCAGCAGTCCAAAGTGTGTTGCTGTGTCGCTGCGTGCTTCCGTGAGTTGCCTACTGTAGAAGTCCGTGTTCAATGCCGATACCAACAACAATGTTTGTACATCTTGACGGGTGTCTGATGGTCCAATGGTGTCTGGTCCTGCCGCCCTTTCTCCAAGTGCAACCATTTCCAAAGGCTTTGTGCTTGTGAGTACTGCCATCTTTCCCTCACCATAAATTGGTGCAAACATCAATCATGCCATGCCCCATGAACGAGCAACGATCACCACAGAAACAGGAACCGAATGTCAGTTGAGTTGGATGAAAATGATGAAATCCGTCCCACATTCTGGCGAATTGACAAGATCTCGCCAGCCTCTGGCAGTTTCTGCGCAGGATTGCCGGAGAGGAGACTGGACATAGGGCTAAGAAATGATTGATATTGACACTAATTATATACAAAGCTTTTTTGCAGTACTATAATATGATTACAATATGATTACGACATGAGATCATGAGGAACTCCATTGAAAACCATGTTCTCGTGGGAAAAACACCGCATCAAATCATAACCCTGAAATGTGTCATATAATGTAATACAGTATACGATTCCTTCATCACATAGAACAAAGCTACAAGGGTTGCAGGGAAGTTGCGAGACCAAATTGTCCGAGTTTGTCATTCACCACACCACCCGCCAAGGAACCGGCGGCATAAACGTTGTTGTTTTCTTGGTTCTTATCCAAGCCTAAGTCGCGGATCACCACCAACGTTCGACATCAACGGTCCTTATGCCCCACATGATGTTTGCAGTTTTCCAGTTTGGCTTGTCGGCACAGGGATGCTCATCAAGATCATCAAGCATGTTCCATCAGCATGACCGCTGTCTAATGGGTCAAATTATCGTAATTCATAATAATCGTCGGTACCACAAACGTTGGAGCTCTGTGTCTAACTGAAGCAACCTGTTGAAATCTTTTGTGGCATTTAACGAGGGCAAACACATATAATGTGTTCTGTCACTGATGGTATCACGTGCTTCGTTGCATGTCCAGCACCATAGGTAACCAAGCGACTGATGAAACCAATGGCACCAAACACGTATTTGTGAAACGTCCATCTCCAGAACTCAATCGTTTGGAAAAAACTTGCAAACAATGAAAAACATGTGACAATCGAGTGAGAGGCACAGGTGAATGTGGCATTGCATCAACACCTTAAATCCGATAAGCCCGCATCCACAACAGCCAAAAGGCACAAACCATACATCATGTCTGTGAGACGGCCGGCTGGTAATGGCTTTGCAACATCAACATCTCTCCACTTCCTTGGCAACCGCAAGGGCCACGGCGACCATACTGAGAATGGCCACAAAAAGACTCGGCCAGGATATTGCCGAAGCAAAACATGCAAATCATAAGACTCTTGAACCCAGCATCTGAGATGGAGCATCAGGGCAATTTGCCATATAGACGTTGCCTTGACCGTGCTGCAAATCCATACACTGGTTGTCATGCCTGTCTCAGGGCGGCAACATCTCGAGCTGACTTGCAACTACAAGCAAGTTCTGCGTTGATGACAAAGGCTGATAAGGCTGCAACGGAAAAATGTGCAGGACCCTTCCTGCTGCAAGAGCCTCTTGCATGTTCAGCCAGCCTGCTCTTGATGTACTTCGAATCCCAGTAGAACCGTTGATTGGAACCTCCATGGCAGTCGTACCTTGACGGCTGCGGTCGATGAACGAATGAGAAAGCTGAGATTGGGAAAGCGATGTTCTTTATTCCTAGTAACCTAGTAGCTTCTTGTTACTAGCAGTAAGGCCAGGAGCTACTAGTAACGTCCTTGCTCCTAGTAGAAATGCCCTTTGTTACTAGTAGCTTCTTGTTACTAGTAGTATGGCCAGGAGCTACTAGTAGCTACTAGTAACAAGAAGCTACTAGTAACAAAGGTCATTTCTACTACGAGCAACGACGCTACTAGTAGCTCCTGGCCTTACTACTAGTAACAAGAAGCTACTAGTAACAAAGGGCATTTCTACTA